TTGGCTCCTCCCTGCCCCCTGCTCCTGCCAAGCCCCTCATCCTGGAGGAAGAGAGAGAAGGCTCACCCTGCTCAAGATCACCGTTTCCTCCGTCCTGTCACTCCCTCCCTCACCCAGGGTTTAGGAACCCTCAGATGCCTCTCCTCCCTCACCCGGGGTTTAGGAACCCTCAGGTGCCTCTCCTCCCTCACCCAGGTTTAGGAACCCTCAGGTGCCTCTCGCACACCCTTCCCAACCTTCCCGGCCTCGCCTCTTACCCAGCCCCTGTCACAACACTCAGCTGCACACGCCTTGGGCAAGCTCCAGGCAAGTGCGGACGCCAGGTGCCACCAGGTCCACCGTGGGAAGCAGCCACCCGTGGGAAGGCAAACTGGAGGGGTGGAAGGGGGGCGAGCGGTGCCACGGCTGCTGGCCTCCAGGACCGGAGCTGATGGAAAATGTTTTCTACTGTCCTTTCCTGCGCGGACGGCTGTGAGCCGCATTGTATAAGGCTTCTCGAGGGTCTCGTAGGATGTCAGTGGCCCGCAGTGGTGGCCAGCTGATGAAGCATCTCCGCTGGTTTCCTCTCCTTCCTGTTCGTCATTCCGAATGTCATCCTCCTAATTAGCTGGTTGTTAATATTAATGAAAGGAGGAGAGCACTGAGCTAGTGTAAGGCAGGCGGTAGATCAGTGCCGCCCCCAGGGGCTCTGGGACTTTGTAGGAGGATGGGTATCTGTCGTCAGATGGGGAGGGTGGGCTAAGGGGCCGGGACATTAGGCAAAGGGCAATGCACGGGGCAGCTTCTCACAACTAGAAACTGACCTGCGTACCGCACAGTTTACAAATGGCTTGGTGGGCATTCGTGTTAGTGGAGAATCTTTATTATTCTGAGCCCAAAGCCTAACTACATTTTACTTATAATTCCATCCAAAGTTTTTTTCTTTGTCATGTTTTAATATACATTGAATTTTCCAGGACTACAACCGCCGTGTAAATTGAGAGTTAAATACTTTGAAAAATTGCATCGCTGTGGCATTTAAGTCCTAATCCTACATGTTCTTATGGGTCTCTATTTTTAACTAGTGCATTTGCAGTGATTCTATGTAATTTGACTATGCCATCACTATGCCCAAGCTTATATATAATGATATGATATATAAAGATAATTTATATAATTGATTATATAATTACTTTCTTTGGTTCTTCTTTTACTTAGGGCAAGAAGTTAATCCTTTTTAAATCATGGGTGTAGTAACTTATATTATCTATGAACTTTATTTCACTTAAGATTATACAGTCACCTCTTACTTGGTTTTACATTCTATGGTTTCAGTAACCTTTAGTCTTCGCTGCAGTCTGAGAATATTAAATGGAAAATTCCAGAAATAAACTGTTCATTAACTTTAATTTGAGTAGCATGATGAAATCTCCAGAGGCCTGTTCCACCCCGCCCAGGATGTGAATCATACTGAGTGTCCATATCCTATGTCCTCCCCTCACCCAGCCATCAGTCACTTGGTAGCCACCTTGGTTATCAGCCGCACTGTCCCAGGGCTGGTGTTCAGTGGCCCTCATAGCAGCAGCCTCACGCTAGGTCGCAGTGCCTGCGTCATCCGCCTCCCCTCTCTCCTCACACCCGCCTCCTCCCACCTCATCAGAAGGAGAAGGGTAAGTACAGAAAGATATTCTGTGGGAGAGACCACATTCGCATAAGGTTTATTGCAGTCAGGCACACCTCCTTTTATGGCACTTTGCTTTCTTGCACTTCACAGGTGTTATATTTTTAACAAATGGAAGGCAAGACCCTCTTCCAGGAAAAAGATTACGACTCACTTCATTGTGATACTTGCTTTATTGCAGTGCAGTATCTCCCAGGTATGCCTCTGTATTGTTATAATTGTTCTGTTTTATTATCAGTTATTAGTGTTAACCTCTTACTTGCCTAATTTATAAAGTAAACTTTATCATAGATATGTATGGATAGGAAAAAACATAATCTATATAGGGCTTGGTGCTATCCACAATTTCAGGTATTCACTGGGCATCTTGGAAAGGGGAGACTAATGTACCACAAAATATTTGTTACGAAAAAAGGCCTTATGTCAGATGGGGGAAACATTCATCTTCCCTGGTTCAGACTGGAAATGCTGACTTGTGTGGCTTATTTTTTGAATAGGTAATCTCTCTACATTTAAATCAACAATTTATAAAAAAGCTGCACACACAGGGGAAATCAACATCTCCCTTCTACTCTCAACCTTCAGGTATATAGTTCCCTTCCCCAGAGTCACCCCCTCCTACCAGATTTCTGTATATCCTTCCAGGTGTAATTTTTGCCTACACAAACATATTGGTTATGTAGTATATATAAAGTACATAGCTTTAAATTATTTTATACAATACTTTATGTATGTGAGTGTATATACATATAACATTTTCATGTACCTTGGGTTTTCTCTCAATAATATACTTTGGACATTGTTGTTTCTTCTTTGTAGATATCTAAGCCATTTCATTCTATTGATGTACCATAATTTATTAAACAGTCACCTGAAGTTGGTTAAGTTTTTCTAACTTTTGCTATAAAAATAATGTTGCAATGACTCTCATTGGATTTCACCACTTTGCACATGAATTGGATATTCAATCAACAATTCAGTGACAAGGAAGAGTCACAGTTGAGGTTCTGTTCAGGCTTATGTTTTGCTGAGTCATAAGCTTTTAAGGTTTCACTGTATAGCGCTCTTTAGCATTTATGTCTTAGAACTAATTGTTTAAATCCTAAAATAGTTTTGACAGATACAAACAAGTTAAATGTCCCTGGCCTCTTTTTCTTTATCTTTTTTTTTTTATGAGGATACTCTATGAAGTTCGGCGAAAAATCAACAAAAGAAAGAAAAAAGAGAAAACACCAAGTTCTATGACTCCAGGACTCCAAGGCATTTCTGCTGAGTAGCTCTTCTGGGACAAGCAAGCCCGTGAAGCTTTCCGAGTGTTGCTCTTCAGATTGAATACAACGGCACGTGAAAACAATTACACGGAGAAAAATCAAGAAAAGTTGGAAGGGTTTTTAGGATAACATAATGCAGCAAAAACACAAGTTTAGAAACATCTTGGAAATTCAAACTAGATTTTCTGAGTTATTTTGGAATGGCTGAGGGCAGATGGTAAAAACCACACATGCTACATACCAACAAATCCCCGATTCTGTTGATGTTTTGCNTTGGAATGGCTGAGGGCAGATGGTAAAAACCACACATGTTACATACCAACAAATCCCCCGATTCTGTTGATGTTTTGCAAGGGAAAGTGGTGTGAGTGTGTGTGTGTGTGTGTGTGTGTGTGTGTGTTTAAGAACACAGTGTTCAGGAAAAAATTATCAGGCCAACCATTTATAATCAAATCTCTCCAAGTTCCAGGATTTTTTTTTGGAAAAAATATGTTATCTCAGAATCTCAAAGTCCCCAAGCTAATTAGCTGAAGGCTGACCTCATAGGTTACTCATTAGGTCAAGTGTTTCCAATGCCCACTGCAAAGTGATAAAAATGGATATCTGAATGCTCTCTCTGCACTCCTCTGGATATTATTACCCCTTGGTGGGCTTTTCAAAAAAGCAAACTTAGCAGAGGAAGCCTCACATTTGGGGGTCACTGACTGACCTTTCTGCAGTCTCAGACCACTCAAAGTAAAAAGGTCAGATGGGTTGCTGGTTTCACCTGGAAGAAAACTTTCCTGGTAAAATAGCACTTGCTGTCTTGACCCTCAGATGAATGAACATGACCTAGTGGGCTCACTCTACCTTGCTTACCTAGGACCTTCAATGTGAGCCATAATGACAGATTGGAAGAGCCTGTGAGTCCCTTTTGGGCAAGGTATCCCAAGGGACATAGTTTCTCAATGTGGGGTGAGGCCTGAAGCCTGTTTGCAAGTGAGCATACAACATTGTGACCCTCCCTGGCACTCTGCGACTGGGACCTGAATAGAGACAAATAGATTCCTGCCTTCTTCCTGCTCTCTTATCATTTCCATCCTACCCTCACTTTGGTTTTCTGTGACCTCTAACTTGAGCCCTCTCCAGTCTGACACACTGGACCAAATACCAGCTTTGTAATCAAATAGATTAAGTCCTAAACTGACTCTGCCACCAAAACAGTGCGTGACCCTGTGCACATTATGTCATCGCCTAGAAAGTTAGTTCCTAGCTCCTCTCTCCCTACCTTAAACCAAAATAACTGTTCATGTTACCGCAAAAAGAGGCCTAAAGCTTGCATATTTATGAAGACAGTTCAAACTGATATATATAAGACACTCATACAGAGGTTACCTATTGGAGGGGCATAGGGACTGAACAATTTGGGGACAAAGATGAAAATTCATACATGAAATGTTTAAATTTAGCTTGAGATACTAGAAAAAGAAAAGTAAAACTTAAGTGAGCCTCCTATTGATACCACCATCATAATTCAAACATGCTGTAGTTTACATTTCAGAGGTTCCATCTCTCTATTCTGAGATCTCCAGTGTGTTGCCCAGGAACACTTGCCACCATCTCAGACTCCAAAGAGACATATTTTTAGTGTTTCCCTACTTTGAAAGGAGTTCAGAACAGAGGGCTGGAAATAGTTGGTCTGGATAGAAAATGTAAATCAAACTATCTCTTACTCTGAAGAGTGTGATGAACTAGGGTTGATGCTGTAAATGGTTAGACAAGCTATGGCACCCTACAAAAAGATGATACTTACAAATTTAGTTTAAGGGAAAATGGTAAATCAGATTTTTATGAGTATGCATATCATAAAAAATGTGAAGAAAGGAGACTTTCACTAACATATGTTTTCCCACTCCCACAAAAAATTCTTTTTATCAGCAATTCTCTTTTTATCAGTGTTGTCATACAGTTGGTTGAATACAACTGAGTTTATAGTGAAGAAAATTCTGTTTAGCGCTGGCCCAGTGGCTCAGTTGGTTGGAGCAATGCCCTGTGCACCAACGGGTCATGGATTCGATTCCCTGTCAGGGTACATACCCAGGTTGCAGGTTCAACCTCTGGTCCTGGCATGTAAGGGAGGTAATCAATCAGTGTTTCTCTCTCTCTCTCTCTCTCCCTTCCTCTCTCTCTCAAATCAATAAACATATCCTCAGTGAGGATTTTTTTTTAAAAATCCTGTTTAGTACAATCTAACGCCAGGGATTAAACACACGCGTGGGCGTGCGCACGNTTTTTTAAAAATCCTGTTTAGTACAATCTAACGCCAGGGATTAAACACACACGTGGGCGTGCGCGCGCAAACANAACGCCAGGGATTAAACACACGCGTGGGCGTGCGCACGCACACACGCACACACACACACACATTATTCCATAATGTGGTTGTTTAAGTATTTTGGAGTCAGAAGGCCCTGCTCAAGCCCTGACCTGGTACTTGATACCTGTGAGACTTTGGCAAGTAACTCAACCTTTTGGAAGATTCACTTCCTGCCTTAGAGTTATGTGACAATCAAACAAGATAATGAATTTAAAGCAAAAGTTACTTCTTAAAACATAGCATTCATTTGTTCATGCATCCATTCAACTAATACTTATCAGCACCTACTAGATGCAGGCCCTGAACCTGGCATTAGAGATACAACAACAAACAAAACAGCCGCCCCAGCTCCAGAGAGATCACATTCTCTGGAGGGAGGCGACAATAAGTAATATAAAATTTTAGAAAGGCCATAAGTGCTATTGAAAAAAATTATGGGCTTGGGGGAGAAAATGTTAGGGGTGCAATTTTTAGTAGATAGATAAGGGAAAAAAGAATTGCTTAAAAATAATGGGTTTAATAAGTATTAGTTATAATTATTATAGTTGTAACATATCCTTCTACATTCTATATCATATTTGCAAGACTTTGTGAGTAGACTAATGAATCTAACACTATTAATGACAAACACAGAAGATAATCATACACATATATTCACAACGACCATGCTCATCCTGCTTCTCTGTAAATAATTTAATGTCACAGAATTACTCTAAACCCCCTTATTATTAAGCACTGGGTTTGCATCAAATTTTATAGCATATCTGCTGTGAAGGTTATAATAATGTTATGATCAAAACAAAACTAGCCTGAATGTGTCAAAATAAATATATAAAGTAGATCTACCAGCTGTGTGGCCCGTGTACCTCAGCCTCTCCGTGTCTCAGTTTCCTCAACAGAACACAACCATACTTCCTGCTTAAAGCTTGTTTTATAAATTGGAAATGATGTATGAAAAGTGCTTAGCCCCTTGGCATTGCAACGCAGCAACTGCTGATGTAAACAAAGTTTGGAAGGATTGTGGTCAACTCATTTCATGTTCTATTAAGTGTATTAATAACATGTTTTCAAAGTGCTTGGCATACTGTGGGAACTAAAACAGCTTTCTTTTTGAGCCCGATCCTTTCTTTCTGTCCTTCTTGGTGTTTCTCTACCTCTCCTTCTCAGTGGAAGATGGGCTTTCTCTTTCTCAGTTTCTTTGGGGTCCTGAAGCAGCAGGTCCTTTCTGTGTCTAAAGAGCCTTTCTCAGGTTTGGGCATGGGTCAGCTGAGCATTGTCTTTCACAGCTAGGTGTTGGCAGTGCCAGGGCAGGAATGTAGACTCCATGACTACGGGTGTGGGGCCCTTCCTTAACTACACCATATGGCCTCTGAAGGCTTGAGTTCGGTTTTCACTTAATTGAAATTCTTGTAGAAGATCATTGACAATAGCATTAACAGTAACCGTCTCTTTTAATTGTCAGAATGATCGTTGTCTGGTTTTGTGCACATGTTGTCTTGCTCCCAGGGCAGCTGTGAATGTGTGAACTCCTCATCGTGATGTGGACACTGCCCAAATGGTAATCAGCACAGACACCTTATAAATTACCAACAGATTACTGCTTCTGTCTGCGAGCACTTCCAATGCTAGCCAGCCTGGGGCTTTTTTGTTTTGTTTTGTTTTTGTTGTTTTTTCCTACTGGAATAGGTTGTGATCTAGAGTAAGTCTTTGTGGACTGTGAATGAAAATTTAGGCTCACACCCAATTAACAAACTTTGACAAACCAGAGGGCACATACATGCTATATATTTTTTTTCTTTTTTAAAACATCGATTTGAGAGAGACACATTGACTGGTTTCCTCCCGCACTCCCCCAAACCAGGGCTGGGGACCTGGAGATCGAGCCTGTAACTGAGGTACATGCCTTTGGCCGGAATTGAACCCAAGACCCTTCAATCTGCTGACACTCTAACCACTGAGCCAAACCGGCTAGGGCCATACATACTATATTTGCAAGAATGAACAACAACTCCAAAACTAGGGATCCTTCTCTCCCTTTCCCTTACTTCAGTAATCTAGGGCAAATTTAATAAAACTTTGTCTTATCTCTGTCATTATGACAATGTGGTACTCCCATTTTTCTCTAAATTTTCTTCACATTTGCTTTTTAAAACTTTATTTTTTTTACTGGTTATTTATTTATTTTAATTTATCTTTATTGTTGAAAGTATTACAGGTGTCCCATTTTCCAGCCCCAATTGACCCCTTCCACCATGCTCCCACCCCCTCCCCTGGCCTTCACCCCATTATTGACTGTGTACATGGGTTATGCATATATGCATATAACTTCTTTGGTTAATCTCTTTCCACCCTCCATCCCCTTCCCTCTTTTCTCTGAAATATGATCGTCTGTTACCTGCGTCAATGTCGCTGGATCTATTTAGTTTGTCAGATTCTTTTGTTCATTAGCTTCTTCTTAAAGAAGACCCTTCAGCATTTCCTGTAGTGCTGGTCTGGTCGTGATGAACTCCTTTAGCTTTTTCTTATCTGTGAAGCTCTTTATCTGACCTTCAGTTCTAAATGATA